ATGAATTGGTCCTTCCTTAATACATGTTTCAAACAAACAAAACCCCCGGCAAAAACTATAGCTAATATCACACATAACGGTGAAATGCTGGCCACTTTTTGATTGTCAAAAATAAGAAGATATTGATTTCACAGTTTCTTTTCAACATTGTACTGGAAGTTCTACACAGAAGAAAGAAAAATAAGTTAGGAGGCATGGAATGTCATCTTGACATCCGCTACTGTTTTTTTTTTTTTTTGAGACGGAGTTTCGCTCTTGTTACCCAGGCTGGAGTGCAATGGCGCGATCTCGGCTCACCGCAACCTCCGCCTCCCGGGTTCAGGCAATTCTCCTGCCTCAGCCTCCTGAGTAGCTGGGATTACAGGCACGCGCCACCATGCCCAGCTAATTTTTTGTATTTTTAGTAGAGACGGGGTTTCACCGTGTTGACCAGGATGGTCTCGATCTCTTGACCTCGTGATCCACCTGCCTCGGCCTCCCACAGTGCTGGGATTACAGGCTTGAGCCACCGCGCCCGGCCTACATCCGCTACTGTTAATACAGGAGGATGCGTGGTTTTACGGGAGGAATAGTCTTTGTTTAGGAAACTCTCTTGCTAAGTTACTAGTGGGGAAGGGAGGGCTCAGGCCAATACAATGAGAAAAGGTCTTTAACAGCTCTTTGCTGGAAAGAAAGAACATTTGCGCCTGAGAAGATGAGGCTGAAGAGAGTGGAGAGCACAGGCTCTATTGCTTGAGGCTAAAGCCCAGATTTAGAAAGTGTCAAAGGATCTTGGGGTCAGGTATTCTTAACATTCCATTTAAAGTTACCTGTGCTTCCATGAATAAGTCTCTCTGCTGTCACCAAAATCTTTAGTAAAGACTTCTACACACGGTATTACCTTCTGGGAGTGATCTTTTTGGTGGAGCTTCCAAAAAAAAAAAAAAAAAAAAAAAGAATGCATTTCCGCATTTCCTATATGGCTCAACATGATACAGAGGGGGGAAAAATAAAAACAATCTCAAATCTAAAATAACTCAACTAAAAGAAAGAAGAGCTCAGAGCTAGAGATGACCATGACAACCTAAGCGCCCTGTTAAGTCACAAAAATTTGCCATATTATAACAGCAAAAGAGATGGAATGGCGGTTCAAGTCAATTTACGGAGATATTAAGGGTCTAGAAGGCCATGATGTGCAGCAGCCGAAGTGTCTAGAAAAACACTAGGCACTCACCAAGCGGATAAGAAAAGCTTTTGCAGTCTGACTCCTACTGATTGTGAGGTCAACTGCTTATCTCCTCTCCTCTGTTGCTAGACTTCATCCACACCATGAAAAGACAAAGTTTCAAAGTGTGTTTAAAAAGATTCCCTAGACCGGGTGTGGTGGCTCACGCCTATAATCCCAGCACTTTGGAGTTCAAGACCAGACTGGGAAGCATGGTGAAACCCATTCACTACAAAAAAATACAATTAGCTTGGCATGGTGGCACACACCTGTACTACCAACTACTTGAGAGGCTGAGGTGGAAGGATCACTTGAGCCCTGGAGGTTGAGGCTACAGTGAGCCAGGATCATGCCACTGCACTCTGACCCGGGCGACAGAGCAAACTCTGTCTCAAAAATAAATAAATAAAATAAAAATAATTCATAAAGTTCTTATTTTCTCTCATGCTTTTAAAATAGTTCATCTGAGTGGGAAGTTATCCAGATAATATGGGATATAAAAAAGAAAACAATTTCTTCTGGGACTTTTAATTTCCCAGTGACTGAATATTTTATACTAGAATACCTGCACAGTCAAAGTGATGTCAAGATATAAATTAACTATCTTAAGAAGTGACTCCCACAGTAATCGGTTAGCTTGAAAGCAATACATCTGTATCTTGGCACACAGAATAACTTAAGGATACTAATATAACTTATGAACAATTCTCATTATGGTCAGAAGGAACTATTACTATTTTGTTGCTATTTTTAGCAGCTAAATCATATTATTCTTTAAAATAAAATTATAACAGTAGAAGTATTAGCTTAAGGCAACTTATACGACATAAATAGTCTGAGTTAAAGAAAATGTTTAAAGGTACCACTTTTTAGATTATTGCCAAAATCTGGGAAAGTTTCTAGTTCCCATGAGATGTGTTCCTACTACTTGTGAAATCTGCCCACTTACTAATATAACTAGTGTGCTCTCTTCTGTTCATATTTTGCTTAACTTCTTTGCCAAATTTACAGTGGGTTTTTTTGCAATGAATAGTATTGCTACACTAAAAGCCTATAACTCTTTACCATATTTTTAAAATTATAAAACAGAACGTTAGTCTATTGGCCAAGACTTTCTGGTATGTTGTTGCAGCTCTATTCCAGAACATTCCTAATGAAGTGGGAGATTTTCTTCCATTATAGGAAGCTAATAGATGTTATCATTTCCATCCTATCACAGGTGAAGCACTAATTTAGTCACAGTTTCTGTACTAAAGCTCTTTCTGGTAAAAACGGACAATCCCTAAGGCGACGACTCACACATAATACTTTAAATACTTTTATATAAATGTCTTAAATGCATTAGTTTTCTTTTCTTTTCTTTTTATGTGATCAAGCAGCCACTACTTTCTTTTAGCATAAGTATTAGTATCTCAGGAATTTTTTTCTCTCATCTCTTCTGTATTAGATCAACTGATCAGCACCTTAAAGAACTCCCAGACTCCAATCATTACTACAGAAGGATATATATATATTTTTTGAGATCGAGTCTTGCTCTGATGCCTGAGCTAGAGTGAAATGGTGCCGTCACAGCTCACCGCAGCCTCAGCTTCCTGGGCTCAGGTGACCTCTCCACCCCAGCTTCCCAGTTATCGGACTACAAGGGTGCGTCATCATGTCTGGCCAACTTTTTGTTTTTTCAGTAGAGACAGAGTTTTGCTACGTTTCTCAGGCTGGTCTCAAACTCTGGGCTGAAGTGCTGAGATCACAGGCATGAGCCACAGCACCCGGCCGTGAATGATTATCTCAGTGTCACAATATGCTCCTATTTCTAAATCAATGTTTATGATGGATGACAAATCCAAATATCAATTCAAATAGCAATAAATTAATAATTGTCACCAAAACCATGATTTGTCCCTACTGTTTGACACTTCATCACTGAGTACATCACCTCACAGTGCCAATCTTCCTGACACCCGAATTCGCCTTCCGTTCACTGATCCCTCCTGGCCACCTTAAAGATAGGCCTGGAATGGTAACACTTCTTCAGCAGCCAGGGAACATTTAAAAATTAAAGGCCAGGCGCGGTGGCTCACGCCTGTAATCTGACCACTTTGGGAGGCAGAGGTGGGCGGATCACCTGAGGTGGGTGTTCGAGACCAGCCTCCCCAACATGGAGAAACACCCTCTCTACTAAAAACACAAAATTAGCTAGGCATGGTGGTGCATGCCTTTAATCC